GTTTTCTTTAGGTCACAAGTTGTTTAAGGCCGGAGGGTTTTTCCACTTGTTTAGTTTGTTTCGTTAGCTGAAGTTTTTGAATCCTTTGTTTGACATTAGTGATACATGATTGGCGATAGTCGTAAGGTTATATTAACGTTTCACACAACCCTACACAGTTCGAAGACGTTACAGTGATGCGGGGTTACGAAACAGCTTTTAACAACGCGAGTTCAAAACATTTTCACGAGACATTTGTGCATGCCGGCACCCCCTTACAGACCTGAGCAGACGCTCAGACCGCTGGTAGGGCAGCTCAAGTATAAAACAAGGCACTGCTTGTTTAGGGATGGTTTGTCCTTTCTGAAGGGCAGCTTGGGCAGCCGATGGTAGGAGTGGGTGCAAGTGCTTCCAGCCCCCTAACAATGTATATGCGTACTGCGTACATGCGTACGTGCGTGCATGCGTGCAAACACGCGTAGTGCGTACGTCCATACGTGCGTGCGTGTGTGTGTGCGTGTGTACGAGCGTGCGTGCGTGCGTGCGTATGTGCGTGTGTGCTCTAGCGTCGTCTCCAACACCCAGCCACCTGCGGGCGTACTTGAATGGTAACGCTGGTCTCTGCTCGGCCGGCACTAGTGCGTGGGCCGGGCGTGACGTCAAGGATTACGGTGAGATACCGTCTAAATGGACCCCGCGGCTTGGAAGTGCTGACTCATGCTCCCTGATAAAACGCCCGCACTTGGGCTCGAACAATTGTGGTCAAACATTCCAGGAGGAAGATAATAAAATCATTCGCCATGTGAGTGAACTTCGTGCCTCTGCCGTGTCTGTTCGTCGTTGTTCTCTGCGCGGCTCTACACCCGTATGCAGGCGATGCTGATTGATCATCCAGTTCTACGTGTATGCCGAAATATTTATATCATTGATTTCAATGCCAGCCTTAATAATTTTATCTCATCATGTGCTTCCAAGCACAGATCATACATATCGACAATATCTGTAGAACGTGGTGAATGTGCCACACAACACCGGCTGTGAGTGGAGTGCTCACAACGCTCGCTGCGGCTGGAGCCCGTCGTGATTTGTTCACTTACCAAACGCTCAGAGTGTTCTGCCCAATTCACTCTGTCGACATCTGTCTCCATTCGAGCACGCACTCCGAGTGTCAGAGCAGTCATAGTGAGTGTATAGTGAGTAAGGTGAGTGTGCCGTGGCTCGGCTCGACACTCAGTGTCAGAGTGGTCATAGTGAGTGTGTCGTGACTCTGCTCGACACTCTAAGTGTCACCGTAGTCATAGTGAGTGTGCCGTGACTCGGCTCGACATTCTGAGTGTCTGGGTAGTCATAGTGAGTGTGCAGTGACTTGGCTGTCAGGGTAGTCATAGTGAGTGTGCCGTAACTCGGCTCGACGCTCTGAGTGTCAGGTAGTCATAGTGAGTGTGCCATGACTCGGCTTGTCTGCGTGACTCGGCTCGGCCGTCACTCCGCCTGTGAGGCAGCGCTCGGCGCCGTCCCGTCCGTTACTGGGTCCTTTGACGGTGAGGCGGTGAGACATGCTGCCCCGGCAAACGCACGACCGGTTACTCACCACCATCGCAATCCGTGCCCGGGGCGGGGAAAATGGGGAAGAAACCTGCGAGAACGGGGAGGGATGGCGTATCCAGCCGAGCGTGCGGGACGCCGGGAGGAGGAGGGGGTGGAGGCACCGGCAAACACGTAACGGCGACGGTCTATTGTCCCGCGTCGGTTGACTCGGACAATGCGGGTCTTACGTGACGCAGGTGCAGGGGTGTACGCTTCGTGACTCACTGCTAAACCCATACTGATAACATGTGAGTCATCGAGGAATATGTTATGGCCGGCCATGTCGGGTAAGGCAATGTCAGGGGAACTACTTACCGCAGTGAAAACAACCAGTTTGCTCGAGGGAGCATCGTATTTATATCTGCTTATTGTGTGTGTGTTGGGGGGGGGGGGGGGACTATTCGGTGCAACGGACAGCTGACATCAACGCAGTACATACCAGCGGGACCAATAACACTTGGGGCTGAGTATTTATTTGTATGGCTTTCTTTGTTCACAAACCTACGTTATCAGTTGTGCATATAAAAATCTTTATACGAAGATATTTGGCATCCGCAGAGCTTCGTCCCAATTGTTTTGTGTCACATTTCTAACACGCTATTCGTTGCATCGCATTTATCCGTACACTGTACCTTCTTGCGTGAATTTCTTCGCACGCACGGTTTTTTCCTGTCATATACGCAAATATGCTCGCATTTCTCAATTTCATTTCCAGTTGTCGCACGCATGACCTTATGAAGCAAGTGAATGGCATGGCTCTGAGCTTGTGAATGTCATGTTTCTGCACTGCTGCCTCTCATTCGTCTCCGTGCTCTCAACGATGAAACTCCATTTATATATTTCGGGAGGCCAAGGAAGGACAACCAACGAGGTGATACAAAGGTAAGTAATGTCGCGTGAAAAATACTACAACGCGGGAGGGGCATATGACCAGACAAGCTACATTCCGAGCTCATGCCAATATCTCGTCATCGTTGCGTCTCTGAAGTATGCAGTAGCCAAACACCGTATTTAATACTTCTTGTATGGTATTAAAGCAGCGAAATGTCAACTCACTGACCATGTAGGTATAACAAATATAATGGCGTCGCACGTGAACCCTCGTCAAATGCAAACCACTCAGCTCTGCTGATCGCCGTTGGCGTTCAACGCATCCAGAAACCAGAGACGGATTCAGTGGAGCTATGCATGTGCCATCTGTCCATCCCCAATATCAGGGAGAACTTTTCCGCGTGGAAGGCGGAGGGGGGGAATGGTTTGTGCGATTCAGTGCGTGTCTTATCCTAGAAATTCACAAGAACACATGACTGTCGATGGATGGCTGTCATGAATACTTTGCAGGTGAAATAATCAGTTACATGCGGAAACCCAACAGCAGGGAATAATACGAACATCCACCCCAGCACGTTCAGGGCTATGATGTCCATCCATGTTTCCTTACCTGCACAGAACTGACGAAATGCTTTCCAGGCCCATTTCCTAGCATTAGGAGTTGTTACATCTCCAAATGAGAGAACACAGCCCCATTCACTTTTTTGTCCATGTACAATTTTTAAAGATGCAAGGAAATAATGGACCTGAAATGACTTTTGGCCATCACACATGTATTGCCAATCGCATGCCCTAGAATGCCACTTGACCTTTTGCTCCGTCCGGAAGCGTTTGGTTCTCTCCTCCGTCCAGCGCCGCCATTGTGGAAGACTGGGCTGGCGTCCTGACGTCACGGCCCCTGTTGGGAGATGACAGCGGCCGTGACGCCGGGTGTCGTCCGGGGGGAGGGGGGGGGGGGGGGGGCGCCGCCTGGCCGTCGCCCACGGACCGCAGACCGCCGCCGGCCGGCTGTGACCAGCGGCGGTCCGCTCGGTCATACCAGGGGGCGGTCCACCCACGCTGAAGGCTGTCCTGGCCGGCAGAGTCACACTCACTGAGGCCCCAGCCGCGTGGTCCGGCCGACGCCGCCCACCGGCCGTGCATCCGTACAGCTCTGCTCTCCCACTGGCGGGATGAGGGCGCCGCTGTTTGCTGGTCCGGTGCCGTAAGATGTGCGATTCGCATCCCGTAAAATGCTTTGGCATCCGGTATTCAGTTTTCATTCCATGAGATCTTTATTTCATAGATCTTTTCCACTAGCTCCTTCACTATCCCTATCCATGCGATCCTTGTGATATGCCGTCTTTGGCCATTGTCATCCTATTGCCTCACGATCTTCATATTTTGATATTTTATATACGTTACTCTGCTCTCGACCCTTGCTGTTCGATGCATTGCCGCAGTCTTTTAACCGTTTACCACATCACACGCACCCCTTCTAAATCTCTGATGGCACTGAACTAAATGAATATGCTACGATCGCGCGGCATGGGTGCGATACGATGACCGGTGGTGACGCCTGCCTGCCAGTGACTGGGTGGGCCTCTGCACGCTTTCGAACGGCCTAGTTTGCTCCATCGTGCGGTGCACGGCTGCCCCTAGGCCCGCAGCACCGTGCTGAGCTGTCAGACACGGTCTTGGACGGCATGCGGATGCGGATGTGTTATCCCGACGGAAGGAAACCAGGAGCGCCGAGATAGAAGCGAGAAAGCGCGCGGCGCCTTCGGTTGGTGCCCTTATACATTGCATGACTTTTGCCCGATGACGAAAAAGTCACATGGCACCTGTGCGTCTATCGCCGCTTACAGCGCACGAGGGCTGCATGATTCCGGAGTCCGCTTCCTCCTACCCCCCCCCCCCCCCCCGCCACGGCACGCCTCCCACCACGCGCCTGGACATCCGTCTCTGCCCCCGCCGCCCCGGCGGCTGGCCCGGCGGGACCTCCGGCTGCCCTTATCGGCCGGATCCGCCGGGCGGCGGCGGGGGGGGGGGGGGGGGGGGGGGCGACGCCGTGCGGTCAGTCTGTGCGGCCAGCGTCGAGAGGCCTGGGAGATGCGCCCACGTTCAGGCGGGTGGCGGCGGACGTCGACCATATGGAACCTACGGCGCGCGTGCGGGTCGTGACCGTTCTGTTGCTCTGTGGGACTGTGCCAGGTGAGGGTTGGCACGGCTTCCTCACGGTATGGCGTTCTGGGCCCTGCGTGAGCAACGGCTCGGACTGATAACTCCTGATGATGGATCAGAAGCCGCACGGCAAATCGTTGGCCGCCTAATGCAAATGATCAGCATGCGTACTATTACACCAACAGTTTTCTGTGTAAGTCGGATGGGCACATAACATTCCGCTAGCCGGACCTAAACAGATGTTTCGGATTTTTTTCCTCCCCAGCACCAGGCGCCACTGGCTGGCGTGGCGCCTGGTGCCCCTGTGCGTCAACTCCACATCAGGGTCTCGCGTCCCGCCTTATCACGAGGCCATTCACGCGCACGGGGCACGGGCGGCGCCGGTGCGCGAGAGCCGTGTGTCGTCGACCTTGCTCGGCTGACCTCGCCACGCCCCACAGGGTCACATCAAGCGGCGCGACCGCCGCTGCTGGAGCCGGCCGCCAACCAGACGGTGCTGCAGCCGGGGGAGACGCTGACCGTCCGCTGCCGCGGCACCCGTCCGGTCACCTGGAGCACCACCTCCCTGGCCACGGTGAGGCGAGGTCACGGCCGGCAGGTCGGACGCGCGCCGCTCGGATATTACGCAGGGCGCACGCTCAAAGAGGTCTGTGGCCGTTGAGACCCAATTAGAGCCGTTCAGGGCGCCAGGCGCTCCGCGTTCAACGAAGGTGTCGAAACGCAATGTGGTAATGGCCCGCCGGCTGGTGAAAAAGCGCCCCGTGTCGGCCTCGTGGTGGCCCGGGTTCCATCCCTGGTCGCGTCATGGCCCCTAAGCGCTAAGATGACCTCTGTAGTCGCTGGCAGGTCAGAAAACGAGTGAGCGACAACGTGTGTAGCGTACTTTTTCATACAAAGGTACTTCCTGTGCGCGGCAGACTATCTGACTCTGGATCCCGAGCCCCGACTTTGACTGCACGATGCTGGCAGCATATATCACGATCCATCTTGGTATATCTTGTTCATATCTTAAAGTCTTCGCTGGCCCCGTACCCGGAGGATCGGTATTAAACATCTCACGCGAAGGTTTTTGTTTGTTTTTTGGACGCATTTGCACTCGTCGGCGAATCATTGTCCCGACTCCTCCGATTCTGTGCTGTGCGAGAAGGACACTGTCTCGTGATGGCACCGTCCGACTGGTGACCCACGACGGGGCACGGTGCTGACCCGCGGCTGAGCCGAGCCGCGGCGCAGACTGACCGCGCTCGCGTCGCGCGCGGCTGGGGCACCCGCCGCCGCGAATGGAGTCGGACAGGGTCGGGCCGGCCGCCGGAGCCTGCCGACACCGGTCGCCGAGGGGCCGGCGGGGTCTGCAGACACCGATCGCGGAGGGGGCCGGCGGGGTCTGCCGACACCGATCAACCAGGCCGACGGCTCGTGTTCGGCCCGACACGGTCGGGCAGCGGGACAGGCGGCCCTGTCCAAACAGCGCCGCCCTCCCGCAGAGCGCGCGGCAACAGTCGCGGACACGGATGCGCTGCGGGTGACGGGCGGGGAATACCGACCGGCCTCCAGGCGCCGGTGACAGGATATTTGCTACGATGGTCTGAACGCAGCGCAGCTGGAACAGAGCACCGAAACGGCTGATGGGTTTCGGGGAGGGGGGCGGTTGCCGTCAATACATCGGAACTATTCGGTGACGCATGCAAAGTAAAACATTCAGAACTTGAGAGCTACTCTGCTACCAGCGGAATGTCAAGGCGTTGTCATGCCTGACAGAAGAATCCTCGGGGCGCAGGCACTGCCGTGATCTTCTCTCCAGTGCTGCATGCGCACAGTTTGTGTGCGAGAAAAGTTGTGCGCAAATCTAATTTCAATATCACCTTTTGTAGCAAAAGCCTTATACCTTGAGTTTCGGATTTGAGCTTTGTATCGGAAAGACTGCTTGCTGGTGTGGACCCCCGGCAGGGTGTCCGCTATACCTGCTTGTGGAGATGGCAAAAAGATTTGTGTTTGATTCGTCGGCTAGCGACTCCGAATCTCGGCATGCGCGCTTGATTTTGACGCATGCTTTGAAAGGCACGGCACGAATTTGAGTCGACTCCGATTTCGACTTCATGGGATGCATAGCTCCATTTCCGGATAGACCCTGATGGCGTCGGTTTTGAGAACAACCGGCTAGGACATAAACGGTCTTAGGGGCTTCATCAAAGCCTACGAGCACATTTCTCGTGATGTCTAAGCCGATGTACATTCTCACCCCCACTCCGACTTATTTTCAATCCTAATCGCAAGCAGTCGATTTCACCCTGATTCCACGAAAGCTTGGCCGATTCTGGAATCGACTCAGAATGCACCCGGAGACCAGCGCGAGTCTGGTTTGAAGACCGACACCAGTTTAAAACAAGCGTCCTGCTCCAACCGGACAAAAACGCACCGTCGTCCCTCCTTACGGTTTGCTATCTGCATGCCTGCATATCTGCGGCTATCACTGCATGCGCAGAGGCGGTGTCCCTGACGTAAAATCTTGAGGATGTGACCCTACGGCTTTCCAGTTCAGAGTTCTGATCTGTCGGAGTCATCTGCCCACGCGTAATGTAAACACCCGGCTGGGTTTCCTCTGACGTATCGCCCTGTCTAAGCAAACCTTACCACGTGGCATTTCCATGTATGTACAACCCTGGTCAGCCAGCCACATGACGGCACCCATGGCTTTTCCAACGCACGCCACGGATCGTGCAGATGGTCAAGCCGCGTGACGCGCGCGTGCGTGTATGTGCATCCTGTCAGCCCATCCCAGAGGCCCAGGCCGCTGGCTGGCCCCGCAGCGTTACAGGAGCCTGGGAGGCATGGCTCACAGCGGGCTATCATTAAGTAGATGTAGTGAGCAATACGCACAGTGGGTGTTTTCAGTTGGTGGTATTTGTAAGCCTCCCTGTGGCTGCACCCGCGCTTTAGGTGTGAATAGACCCAATGTGTAGGTAGATAGCGGCGATAGGTGATGTGAAACTGTAATGATCCGACGCTCGGTCACAAGTAAGCTCGCTCCACTCTGTGCCGCTCCAATGGGCACCGCCTGGTTGCTGTGATAGGCTGATGCTCCCTGTGACGGGAATCTAAACAACCACGGCCGGAGATACTGGCTCTTGGAGCGGTGCTTCTACCGCTTTGGACACAGCGTCGTCGATCGCCACATGCGGAGACGCAGGGCCGCTCGCGTGCTGAGCAACCATGACTGTCGATCAAAATCTGGTGGTTTTGCAGTAATCTGGTCTTGTTGTGCCATTCTGAATAACTTTTTTTGCAATAAAATTAAGCAAGCATTGCTTAGCATGGACGCTGATTCCAGAACTCCATCCTATCAGAAGGTTCTACCTATATATTGTTTCATCAATTATCGCTCTGGCTCGGTCTGCTCCAGGTAGATCACATACCGCGCAATGAAACGCCGACGCAACCGCTATATCATGACTCGCGCTGAAGCCGTCTCATTGCATACGGATTCCATTAAAAGCGGCGAGACGCAAATGAATCGTACCAACGCTCTGCTGACCGTTTTAGGGTTCGACCCGCTACATCCGGCGGATGATGCGACGCTGAGGGCATCGCGGTAAGCAGCCCCCTTGGCTGCTCGGGGCGAGCTGCTGGGTCATATGTGCCGTCGCGTTCGTCGCCGTGGGGTGCCGTCGATGCTGCAGTGTGAAAGCCAGCATTGCCAGTCGGTGTTGAAGCTTAAGCTGGACGCGGCGATCGCGCCGGCTGCTGTCGCCCTCTGCCGCCGGATGAACGAAAACACGCCGCGTTGTCGCTTTGCCTGGAGTGTCCCTGGGTCTCTTGTCTCTGGGTACGTCGCAGCGTTTCGTTAGTGTTGAGCCTCCTGCAGAGACGGCATCCCCTGCAGAGGCATCTCTGCAGATGTCTTTGTCGCTTCTGCTGGTGTGACTGTTTTGGTCAGAAATGAAACCCCGGCAAATCTGGTGGTCCACATCAGGAACTTTGGTAAATTATTTCTACACACCTCTCATACGCCCCTTGCCAAATTGCTCACGTAATTAGGGCATCTGTCCTATCAAACAAAATTTAACTTTTTTAATCGTGGGTACGCACATTAGGGCTTGAGTCAATTTTTTCTGCACAACGATCACAATCGGTGTTGTGCGGAACGGTTCGGAACAGAACGGAACAGAACAAAACAAAAGAGAACGGGACGGTTGTGCGGAAGAGTTTGGAACGGAGCGGAACGGTTGCACGAAACGGTTCGGAACCAAATGTAACAGAACGGGACGGTTTGCGGAATGGTTTATCTGTTGTCACGGTTCAATGACCTGCGTCAATGTTTCAGAAATGTTAGCGGTGCGGCTCACTCGAGCCCACTTAACTGCATGGAAAGATTCATTCATGACCTCCCACTTGCTCCGCGTCTTGTGGTTTTTGTCGCCCCTCTTGCAGGGGACTGCTATTTGTGCTGTATGTTTACCGCGGGCTCCGAGCGCCTGTGTCGGCCGATGTGACTGTGTCCGCCGATGTGACTGTGTCGGCCGATGTGACTGTGTCCGCCGATATTATTGTGTCCACCGATGTGCACGGCTTCTGGTGAGCTGCCAGCTGTATGTGTGTGTTGAGCTGTCCGTCTTCTGCAGACCTGTCGATGTATCGTTTGCTGAGCTGTCCGTCTCTCTGCAGACCTGTCGATGTATCGTTTGCTGAGCTGTCCGTCTTCTGCAGACCTGTCGATGTATCGTTTGCTGAGCTGTCCGTCTTCTGCAGACCTGTCGATTTGTAGCGTTTGCTGAGCTGTCCGTCTTCTGCAGACCTGTCGATGTATCGTTTTGCTGAGCTGTCCGTCTTCTGCAGACCTGTCGATGTAGCGTTTGCTGAGCTGTCCGTCTTCTGCAGACCTGTCGATGTATCGTTTGCTGAGCTGTCCGTCTTCTGCAGACCTGTCGATGTATCGTTTGCTGAGCTGTCCGTCTTCTGCAGACCTGTCGATGTATCGTTTGCTGAGCTGTCCGTCCTCTGCAGACCTGTCGATGTGTCGTTTGCTGAGCTGTCCGTCCTCTGCAGACCTGTCGATGTGTCGTTTGCTGAGCTGTCCGTCCTCTGCAGACCTGTCGATGTGTCGTTTGCTAAGCTGTCCGTCTTCTGCAGACCTGTCGATGTATCGTTTGCTGAGCTGTCCGTCCTCTGCAGACCTGTCGATGTGTCGTTTGGTGAGCTGTCCGTCTTCTGCAGACCTGTCGATGTGTCGTTTGGTGAGCTGTCCGTCCTCTGCAGACCTGTCGATGTGTCGTTTGCTGAGCTGTCCGTCCTCTGCAGACCTGTCGATGTGTCGTTTGGTGATTTTTGGCGGGGTCTTCGGCATTCTCCGAAGCCTTGGTCGGCTGCAATGTCCAGACGGAAGCTTTGTCATGCTTCTCAACTACAAGAGAGGTGATCGTACTGACCTGAGAGCAGCACAAGTTCGTTGGGGCACTTGAAGGCCAGGGCTTTGACGCTGCTGTCGTTAAGCACCTACGCATTATTGATTCTTATTTACTTTTTGTAGGACTTTTCCAGCCGCGTGACGATAACGAATGAGACGACGAGTGATGCTGGCTACCCGTACGTGTCAACCTTGGAGGTAAGTCCGCTGATCGTGGCCCCAGACTGACAGGCTCACCTGACTCATACACATCTGGATGTGCACGCAGGCTCATATCCAAATTTTCAGCCAGTGTGAGGCGCCTTGTGTACGATATGCCATATTGATCTGTGTGGGCTTAGCATGATCAGAAGCATTCTCGTCATTCGCGTCGTAAGTACAAGTAGCCAGGTCTTGGGACTGAGTCGTGCACGATTACGGCCACAGAAGAGCTCTCTGCTGCTGTCTTTGTACGGAAACAAATACTGGCGCATTCCACTCACACACGTGAAGGGTGAGCTGGAAACTAGGTGTCACGAACTGCTGAGAGTGATGACGTCTTCATCACGTCACCACGTCATTAATATCAAGGCTGAAGAATGTTACTCATATACCATTCAGCCCACTCTTGCAAAAGTGATAGACGCACGCAGCGTATTTGCCCTCACCACATGGCTGCGGGTCTGACAGTGTTTTCCCTAACCGAGAGGGCGTCAGCTGCCGCAGCTTCTCCTGCGTAACCGGTGGCGTAACCAGTGACGTCTCTCCAGATCCGGGATGTCGGCCACTTGGACGTCGGCTACCAGAGTTGCCAGCTGGCCGGCACCCCGTCTCAGGACCCGGCTCAGAGCGCCGCCAGGGTGTACCTCTTCGTGAACGGTGCGTCCCGCGGAGGGGGGAGGAGAGGGAGGGGAGGGGCGGCGGGTCCCAGTCCGTGCGGACCACCTCCCGGCGACCACCGCTGCGGTCGGGCCGGGGCGGTGGAGATAGCGCCGAAGAGGAAGCGAGCGCGGCGGCCGGCGGGGCGCAGCTGGGTTTGTGGGAACGGCGCTGACGTCGCGGCGGTCTCCATGGCAACGGCCCTGCCCTCTGGTGGTCACGCTCGGACACCAGGAGAATGTAGTGGATGTGAAATTGGTGTCTCATTGACGTCACTAGCGTCATTAACGTCTCAGTAGTAGATGTGAACTTGGAATGTAGTAGATGTGAACTTACTGTCTCATTAGCGTCATGAATGTCATTAAGTAACGCTCTATCTCTCTATCTATCTCTCTTATATATCTATATAGCTATTTAATATGATCTGAGATGAGAGAGAGAGAGAGGAGAGCGAGGAGATATAGAGAGAGAGAGAGAGGAGAGAGAGCTAGAGAGTAGAGAGAGAGAGAGAGAGAGAGAGAGAGCGATAGAGAGAGAGAGAGATGATAGAGAGATATATATATATATATATAGCTCTGATATATATATAGATATATTCTATATGAAATATATATATAACTATATATAGATCGATATAGATATATAGATAGATATATATATATATATATATATCTAGAGATATATATCTATATTTATGGGTGGTGTGTGTGTGTGTGTGTGGTGGGGAGTGGGTGAGTGCGTGATTGCGTGAGTGCGTGCGTGCGTGAGTGAGTGCGTGCGTACGTGGTGAGTGGTGTGAGTGGTGAGTGAGTTAGTGAGTGTGTGCGTGTGTGAATGTGTGTTGTTGTGTGTGCTGTGTGTATAGTGTGTGGGTGGTTGGTGTGTGTGTGTGGGTGTGTGTGTGTGGTGTGGGTGGTGTGGCTTGTGGTGTGTAGTGTGTGTGTGTGGTCGTGCTGGTGTGTGTGCATGTTGTGTGTGGTGTGTGTGTGTCGGTGTGTGTGTTGTGTGTGTGTGTGTGTATGTGTGGTGTGTTGTGCGTGCAGGGTGGGTGTGGGGCGGGTGTGGGTGTGGGTGTGGGTGGGTGTGGGTGTGGGTGTGAGTTGGTGTGGGTGTGGTGTGGTGTGGGTGGGTGTGCGTGCACGTGTGCGTGCTTGCGCGTTTTTGTATGATCACGGGAAACAGCAAACTGCCGCCTGCACGCCGCGTTGTAGCGTTTCGAGACTGATGCGAGCGCATAGCATCTGGTGGTCGTCTAGCTGAGATGAGTCCGTCACATGACCACGACGGACTAAGCCTTATGACTGACTGAGTGTAGGTGCTGAAGTCTGCTCTGGCATCTGGTGGACTGCTTCAGGCTCAGGTCACTCCCTCGACCTTCCTCCGCCTCATCCCCCCCCCCCTCCCTCCTCCCGCCTCTCTCCACACGTACCTGTTCCGCAATGTATATTCGCCCCACGATGAACGCCCTCGGCGCGAATCCGCTGACCTTGTGTGCTGAGTGCGCAATGGCCACTGCTCCTCACACCCACGCCCTCGGCTGATCGCAGACACGGAGCATCTGCTGGTGCTGAGCCAGAAGGACATGTTCATCACCCTGAAGCCGAACGTGCCCGGTGTGATACCGTGTCGGCCCAGTCACCCGGACGTGCGCGTCACGCTCAACCGGAACGGCAGAGAGGTCAGTGACCCGCTCCTGTGCGGGCCGCGGAAGGCGGGACGCCGCCACTCGCGGGTCAGACCTGTCGTGTTGCTGAACCGGCTGGTGGCGCGAGCTGGCGGTCAGATCTGTCGTGTTGCTGAACCGGCTGGTGGCGCTGAGCTGGCGGTCAGACCTGTCGTGTTGCTGAACCGGCCGGAGGCGCTGAGCTGGCGGTCAGACCAATCGTGTTGCTGAACCGGCTGGTGGCGCTGAGCTGGCGGTCAGATCTGTTGTGTTGCTGAACGGGCTGGGGGCGCTGAGAGCTGGCGACGCCGCCTTCAGCCGCTGCCGTCAAACCTGCAGCCCCTAGACTGAGTTTCCCGCGAGTCCAACGTGCTGGTGTTCATAGTTGGGGGGGGGGGGGGGGGGGCTAACTCCGCTGAGGAGAGCAGGGGAGCGTGAACGGAGGTAGTGGGAAGGGGATGGAAAGGGGAAGGGGATGGGCATGGGGTAAGGGGGAGATGTCTGCGGCTGGTTTGATGAAATAATTTGGTGAGGTTGCGTATCGCGTACAGAGTACAGAAGTGTGAACCCGAGCTTAAGCTGCGCCGACTCACATTGATGTATGGACCGACCACCGCACCAGGGGCGCATGGGATCTAGGTCCGAAAAGATGTGTTTGTGTTCCGCCAGCATTTCGGTCGCAAAGACATCGCATGACATGGCACGGTCTGGAAGGTATCCTGTCTGACAAAGTGCAATAGAATGGCGGGGCAACATGCTTTATTTAGACCCACAGAAACGCATACGCACACGCACACGCGCGCGCATGCACACGGTGCTATTGTCAGATATTCTTACACTCGCAGATGTTACGAATGAATATGCAGCTGTTGGCCATCTGCTATGATGTATATATATATATATATATATATATATATATATATATATATCCTTCGCTTTATACATTTTTTATTAAAAATAACTGCAGACTCAGCATTGACAAGATTTTTGACGCATCATTATTGTTTCCGGGCTTTTGACTTGGCATCATCGTTTAGATTAAGTATGGTTCGCACATTGAAAGAACCATATCCATCACTCTTCGCCGCGTTTACAATCATCCCGAAATTCCTCCTCTCATAACGTCAAAGGGCCATCTGGAACAACTACTTAAAGCCTGTACGTTGCGAGTTCCTTTTCGCGGGCCTGATGGACGAATGTATTGCCAAATTGAAGGTGTTGCGATGGGCTCACCATTAGGACCTTTATTCGCTAATTTCTTTATGGGACATGGAGAAGCCAACACACTACAAAATGAGGAGATAAGACAGGACATTTACTACCGTTACGTAGACGATATCTTTGTAGAGGTCAGGGACATTGACCAACCAGGAAATCTCAAAAACTTCTCTGAAGTGCAGTCTGGTTTGAAATTCACAAAATAATTGGGTGTGCAAAACATAATACCTTTTCCTGGCGTGACTGTTGATGGACAAGGACAGCGATTCAAAGCGACTGTATACCGAAGGCAGACTAACAACGGACGGTGCTTAAATGCTGACTGTGAGTAACCTCGACGCTGCAAAATTAGCGTCATGAGGTCCTTTATTGGACATGCATTTAAGCACCGCTCTGATGGGACAGAACTACACTCAGAATTGATAAGAATCAGACAGATCTTGGTGAACGACGGCTCTTTCAACTTCTGACGAAATCGATATACGACATATCTGACAAATCAATATCTGTTGAAAACGATATACAATGACATATTACAAGACACTTCGACAGCAAACCAAGACAAGACACAGCCAACCATCAAACTGTATTATCGTTTATCTGTTCAAATCATCTGTGTTTCTGATTGTGAAGATAGTGTGTCATTGTGAAGGCATCATTGTAAAGGTCGTTTGTCATTGCGACGTCGATACCCTGGATTAGCATTGTCGTGATTGACCGAATCATTTTTCAACCAGATTATTTGTGGGCTGGTGCGAATCCTGCATCAAAAGACCTTTGCCTGCTCAATTTTCATAACACGTGGACTTTCAAAAGCATTTATTAAACCTGTTGGTATTGGTTGTGGAAGGCTTCGCTAGTTCAGTTTTTGCGTCATCTACATTGCCACGAACAGCTTTCACACGCGTTAGCCTCGCTCGCGCCGCACCGCGCATTGGGTCTCACTGGTGGTTGATAAAACTGTCATTCCCAGTAAAAGTCCGGTGTTCTTTTTCTCCGCATGAAGTCCTTAAAACGTTTACCTCTTGATGAATATTTATGATAATGATCATATTGCTACGATGATGATGATAATTATCTTGAAGAAATGTATTGCTCTTGATAATAGTTATCTTGGTGAATCAAACTACAATCCCATTTCTGGCCATAGCCGGCAGGTGCTCTACCACTATTTGAAACAGTGCACGAAAACCATAAAAGCTTTGTGCCAGAAAGATTTTCAAGACGTTTTTAGCTGTTTTTTAAATGCTCTACGCTCAGTGTTCGTCTGCATGTCTGCGGTGCACCACAGCGGTTTTTGGGACCTAGGTCCCAGAAATTCCCTGTCGCGACTGACCCTGGTGACTCCTCTCGCATTTTGGAGTATTTTGGAAGGTCATGTCTTGATTAAATCTTTTGCAGGCGGTTTGATGCACTCCATAGAGTATTTGGGAGAGTGGGTTCATTTAGTCGAGTTGCCCTCATGTAAGATTGCAGAATGTGCGATAAAAAACTTAAAGAAATTAGCAAAATGACAGTCTAAAATGAATTAGACCATACGACTTGCATCTGTGGCTCCAACGTCAGTCACAGAGCAAAGCGGGTACCAATATGCAGCAACAAGGGCGCTTACGGTGGCGGCAGGCGCGTTCCATTGGTGACCCTGCGCCCATGTACCCCGCCTCGTTCCATCTGTGCCCCTGCGCCCCTGTACCCCGCCTCGTTTCCATCGGCGCCCCTGTGCCCTTGTTCCTCGCCTCGCCTCTTGGCTCCGTGTCTTAAATGTGCAAGAATATCGGTCTTGACACGTGAGGTTCACCGTGCGAATGGCTTTTGTCTGCGCCATGATGTGAATGCGCGCCTTTTCGCCGTCTTGGAATGAGGTGCACGCGGGTGGTGCGCACCGCGGCTGGCGTGCTGTCTGCAGACAGCACTGTGCAGCGTGCTCTCTGCCCGCTTAGGTCTGGCCGGAAGGAGACGAGACAATATCGTTTGACAACCGGCGAGGGTTTGTCCTGCAAGACGTGCAGCCTCTGGCGGCGGGCTTCTACACGTGCGCCTCGCGGCGGAGACCGCACGAGTCAAAGCTAGTTCATGTCTACGTTATCCGTACGGTTCGGTCGTGCTTGCGCCCTGTTGCCCGTGCGCCGCATGACGCGTGCGCCACGTGATCCGCAGATGCGACGGGCTGGCAGCACGTGGGCCACGTGCTCTCCGCCGTGCTCCCAGCAGCCACGTGCCGGCTGACGTAGCGTTCCGTGCTTAGCGCCGCCATGCTTTCTCCTCCCGGAGTGTCGCCACGCTGCGCCCGCTGCTTGTGATCATGCTTGGCTCACCAGGCGGAACACAGTACAAGAATGGCTTTAGGTCTTGTTGTAGTCTGCCATTCCTAATATGCGATGTTGAATTGTACTAGCGTGTAGGAAGTGGTGCATTAGAGCTTTGCACTACCTTCGAGATGTTCCATGGGTTCCTCTCTCGTAGTGACCTTGACTACCTTGGTCAGCTTGGTAGTGGTCACCCTTCCGTCATAGTGTGGGGGGGGGGGAGGGTCCGTTAACCCGAGAGTAAAGTAAAATACTTGATATAAGCAAGAAAGACCTTCAACTCCTGGTTTCCAGTATTACAAGTACAAGGTTCTTACGCCGAGTTATTGACCTTAAATGCACGAAGAGTTACCGGTTAGCGGCGTTACGGAACAATTAGTGCAAGCTTATGGCTGGACAAAAGCTATTTGAGGCAGTCGGTTGAATGGAAAAACTTGTGAGGCGCCGCGTGATAGAACTTGTGGGATGCGTACGAATGGCTGTGTTAATTTTCCAACCTATTCACTCTAATTCTTGCGCGTTTATTTGGGAACAGCTCGTACGGACATGCTTGGCCTACCCTTCGAATTTCAGAGGGTATGCGACATAGTTGACAGTTGATTCGCTGGTTAAAATTTCCTAAAACCGGTGCGTAGACCATGCCATCATGCCCCTGCTACCGGAAAATCCTGAGAGCACTGAGCTTTCAAGAATCTGAACCGTGGACCCACTTACACATTAATGCACATGGATGGCAAAGGGTGGGCGAATATGTTCGCTCCCTTCCGGAGCTCCCGCACCAACGGATGTGTGACAGAATATCGTTCTCGTTTCGCAGATCACCGATCTTGCAGAAAAGTACATGATCTACAGGCCAACCGCTGGCTTCCTGATCCAGTCCCCCGTCCTATTCCACCACAGCGGCGCGTTTGTGTGTAAGGCGCGGTATGGCGCCAAGCAGGAAACGCTGCCGGTAATTCTGGTGTTCGCTCGTGAGTACCTGTTGAACAGCTGGTGGTGGTCTCTCGTGCGTGCTAACGCTTGGTCCGTCCGCGCCAGCCGACCAGTGCGCCGGGCCGGGCATTGGCTGGTGGGCTCTGCCTCTGACAGCCAGGGGGCCTCGGTTCATGTTGTCCGCTCCTGTACTTACGCTTGAACGTGACTGAATAAAATGCAGGCATCGGTGAAGGCTCGGGTGCTTTCCGATAATGGATGACGTCCGGTACTACATCCTTGACTCGGGCCTCGGCGGCAGCTTTGGTAACAGACGAGTAACTGGATGCGGAAACAAGTGGGATGCGCTTGTAACAGTCTTTAAGTGGTTCTTAGCATGGTAATGTTGCGTTGACTTTCCGTACTTTTTTGAGAACTTGTTTGACCAATAACCATTTAGTTACTGGAGACATTTTTTCTGCAGCAATTCCCCAAAGCAGGACGCGAGTTTCTCATGCATCTCGCTCTATGTCATCCCCCACACAACATAACATTGCGCTTGTTTGGTTCGCTTCTTTGCGCATGCTTCAGTTGCTGCTCGTGCATGACGCCTTTAAGTTCAGTGCATGTCCGCCCATGTTGGATTGCACGTTACACGTGGGTCCCGTCCTCCTTGCATCGTGAGGGTACTATCCACATTAGCGTCGGAACGCAGTGGTTAAATCCAGTAAAAACATGCATTGAATAAAACATGAACAAGGCGGGTTTGCTTTTGCATAAGGCACGACTGTTCGCGTGTTAGTCGAGCTATCGCAGCCGTTTGGAGCTGTTATGAGCATCACACGAGCCGTCATTTTGGACTGGGCTCACCAAGCCTATCTATTCCTCTGCGTCGTCACTAAGCCGCTGTGGCCCTCGGTCCCACCAGCGGCCACCGAGTCAGTGCCGAAGCCGCAAATCGACAAGAGCGAGACGCGTAACGCCGTGGTCGGCTACAACTTCAGCCTCGTCTGCCGGGTGCACGTCGAGCCGGCTGTCCGGCTTGCGCTCGAGTGGCGCGTGCCGGCCACCAGCACCGGACTGCAGGTGGGTGCCGGCCACACTTGGCCGCAGCGAACGACTCCCGGAGCGCCCCGACCCCCGCGCCGGCCATCGGGGAGAGGAGAAGGCTGCTCGAAGGACGCTTACTGTCGTGTCCTCAGTTGATTGAAATAGATGGATATGTTCGGTGTTCTTTCGGCTCTTCTCGTCGCCCCCTGAGCCGCTTCAAGTCGTGGACGGCTGTCAGGGAAGTAGTTTTACACCAGGCTCGCGCATAGTTACCGGTGCACCGGGATTTTCGGCTGTCCGCCTGTGACGTACTTCGTCTAGCCACGTCACGCGCCTGGCTCGCACTGCGACCGCCTCTGCTGCGCTGGCCTGAGCCGTCCAGCTGACGTGCTGCTCGTGGGCCTGCAGACGGGCCGCATCCGTCAGGAGGCCGAGACCACGCAGAACTCGGCCGTCACCAGGCGGCTGGTGGTGACGGACGCGCGACGGGAGGACGAGGGCAGCTACTCGTGCACCGGCCGAGACCATAACGGACTCACCAACAGCCGCACTGAGTACATTCGCATCTACGGTGAGAGCTCCGAAAGTGCCCACGTGGCATTAAAGCCCACGCAATGGTAGCTGGAACTTGCTGTGATTTTTGGGTGAAGCCAGGTGTTTAAACTGTATCTTCATTTAGACGCTCCAAACTGAGCAATAGCACTTCTCCCAGACACCGCAGCGGATCGAAAGTCATCAAACTTGACTCCAGATCGCCCGACTAAACCTGACATGTCTCCCCGTAGATGCCGACCAGGCCAGCGTTGAGCTGATCGCGGCCAAGACAGAGTTTGACATGCGTTTGGGGACCAGCGTCAAGATTGTCGTCAATGTGAAGGCGTACCCTAGGCCCGATGTGGTCTGGTATAACCCTGGCGGCGGCGAGATCCACAACAGTGAGTGGCTCGCGTCTCACCCGTACGAGGTCACCTGTCTTGCGGCATCTTCTGCGGAACAGTGCAGTACAGAGGCTGCAGTGAGGGTGCCCGGCTGGCTCGACGGTTAACTCATGCACGCTCTGTATGTGATCCTGACAGCGATATTTTGTGGGCACTGTGGGTGTGGCGTATCTCCACTGTGCCCCATGGTAAACATTCTGTGACATTATCTAGCACGCATTGGTTGAAATGAACTTACTGTCCTGTGTGAACCGTTTCATGATTAATTCTGGCGGTCTTTCACCAATGTTTTACTTCATATGTAGGTAGTACGTATGCTCATTTCGAATATTCATAAGCTCACCTCGCTCTGTCGATATCGCCATAGGAACTTTCGAAAAGGCTGGTCGCCCAAATCATGGATGTGTTAAAAATCGTGTCTTGTCACATCTATCGTTAAAAGAATAGAGTCGTGAAAACGGTAAGCATTTGGTTAAAACACGCGTCATTTGTTCATCCGGCCACAGACGGTGAGAGCACTGGCTGCCGCCGCACTCTCTGTTGGTCTGCCATGCTTACAGACGTCATCAATGCTGAGCGATGACCCTGTGTTTGCCCCCCCCCCCCCCCGCCCCTTTCGTCATGCTTTCGGTATCGAACTCTGCCCGTACACAATCCGAGCGGCGCGCGTGCTGCGTACGTCACACAGCAGCGCAACTCCAGAGCTCGCTCCGATGGAGCGTCGCCAGTTCACTCACACGCTCCTCCCTCCCCAGCGGCCAAGCACGCGGTGTCGACGCCGTTCGACCAGACAATCCTGGAGATCTCCCACCTCCAGCTGCGGGACATGGGCGAGTACACCGTGGTGGCCACCAGCCCCAACGGCAAGGCCAACGACTCTCTCGCTGTCCGGATCATCGTGCGGGGTGAGGAGGGGCGAGGCCGGCCGCTGCGCCGCTTGGCGCAGCAGTGATCGGCCAGGTGCACGTTTGCATGACTCCTGTCCGGGACTGTTTCATCTCTAGCATCCATGCCGAATCAACCAGTGCGATGGTGGTTTTGTTATCTCTGATCGGGTGATTTACCTCTATGGAATGGATTCAGTTTTATAGCTGTTGGATGTGTATTCAATCCTCTATTGTGCAGCCCAAGCACACAAAAGTAGATTTGCCGGACACACCTGAGCAGTCGAACCGGCGAACACGTTTATATGCTTCAGGTCAGACCTTATGCGACACACAAACCTCTGAACTGTAGACTCGTGACAGTCGCCACACTACCGGACGTGTCGTGTGATGCCGCTGCGTTACCTCGTCCAGAAGCACATCCTTCGTTCCACTTCACCTGTGTGTTCGAGCATCGCTAACTTGTGCCTGACGAGAAACTCCGTAGTTAAAAGCGCCGCCATGAATTTTTGAAAGGGGACAAACTCTGAGTTATAGCTGTCCTCTCCCAGCCTCCTGTTGGTGGTTAGGGCAGCGATATGACATTGCCTGCCTCATAGTGTGACTCCGCCTGAGTGTCCGTCTGTTTGTCGTGTCTGCCTAAACCCGCCAGGGTCACTCATCCCCGTTGTGACCCCACCTGAGCACCTGAGTGTACGTCTGACCCGGTCTGGGTCACCTACCCAAACCGTGAGCTCACCTGGATACCTGACCGTGCGTTCGATCCTACCTGAGCAGCAGCCCCACCTGAGCGTCTGGCCGTTCTCCTCACCTTGCGTGGTTTGCTCACCCGCACGGAGTGTCGAGCTGTCCATCTCACCGCCGCTGATCGCGCGCTCCGGGTACAGACCAGCCGCGAGTGCACCTGGACGACCCGCGGGAGTACTACATGGCCGGCCGGCGTTACACGCTCTCCTGTGACGTCACCGGATTCCCGACCCCACGCGTCATGTGGCGCTTCGTGCCGTGTATGAACGAGCCATGCGACGCGCCGGACACCGAGCTGAACGTGAGTGCCGGAGGGCGTGAGGCGCCGATCTGCTGTCTGCTCTTTTGGGAGTCTGCGGCGTCTGGTGCTGCTCCGACTGGCGTCCGTTCAGACCCGCGCACTGTTTCTGCCTACTGTTATCGATTCCTTGTGTCACTTGTTGATGGCTGTTCAGTTGCTCATGACGTGCCAGCTATGGCTCAAATTTCATTTCTCGCAGTGCGAGCTCTTGTGTCGAGGCCCCGACAACTGTCAGACGTGGAACTGGGAACAATTTCTGAGGTTGGAGACTAGGAATGCGGTGAAGTTTTATGTGTCCTCAACGGGGGTGATTGCTTTGCAAATTTGGCTCAAACCACGCTGGCAGATGATGTTGGCATTCAACCCCGTACTCCGTCAAAAAGGAGAGCACGCACACTCGAACACACACTTAAGCCGCACCGCCCAGGTCATCTGTTCTCCCCCGCGCCGACCGCAGCCACCGCTCCACAGTTGACGCGGCCGAACGAGGAGGAAGAAGTCTCGCTGTCGTCCAAACCGTACCATGTGCAGAGCAACCTGACCGTCACGGCCATCAGATCTGGCGCCTACAAGTGTCTGGCTCGCAACAGTCAGCACCCGGATGGGGAGGCAGAGGCCTGGCAGCGCTTCTTTGTTACAGGTGGGAAGCGTCGTGGGCTCTCCGTCGCACCGTGTTTGGTTCACGGGTGTTCGTTGAAACTTTTGACGACGTAATTCAGTGTGGGTGTGTGCGGTTGTGTTGCGCTTCCGAGGGTGAGAAGGTAGAGTGTGGTTACAAGTGCTGTGGTCACACATTCAGTGAGTGGAATATACTAACTGCGCTGCCGTATGGTATGATCCAATATGCCCCACGCGTGAATTGCTAAAATGTCACAGCCCAGACCAACCCTCTCGTTCGACGCCTAACTACCACGACCCACCCACAGACATAGCGGACGGCTTCGACTTGGTGAGGCCCGGCGTGCCGGTGGTCGATGGTGACAGCGTCAACATGACCTGCGCCGGCAGCAGCCTGACCTTCCGCAGCCTGGACGACCTCGTCTGGCACCGGAGCGCAGGCGGCGACCAGCGACTGGATCCTGTCACCAGCCTGCCAGGTATGGAGCTGGACAACCGACACGATACGGCTGGGCGAAGATGCACACTCTGCCGTTCACAGTCGCTGTTTTGCAGTGTTGTTCAGCCGATTCTCGACACCCCGGGGGAAGAGTGGGGGTGAGGGGGGGGGGGCGGTTGATCGTAAGAGGCAGACCAGGTGGACAGCAGGTACATACCCGCCGTCTGAATCGAATCCCAGCGTCAGGGACCCGCATCCTGACGCCTCAAGATCCTCTTGGGCTCGTGGTACAACCTGATGGTGTTTGCTTGTCTGCTTTACTGCGCTGAATTCACAATTATTCTCGCTCCATGGCGATCGCGCATGGCGCCTGACTGTAGCACTCGGACGGCGGGCTATAACCGGTGGCCGACCTGTGCGGTCACCCCCGGTCAGAGCCCACCGGCTGCCGCGCTGGTCGCAGCACGGACGAAGCTCGCCCGTCCATTTTCAGACTTGCTGCATCCCAGATGAACTCCCCCCCCCCCCGTTATATCTCATGGTCGCCGCCCAGCGTCGTCTACAGACGGCAGCCGTCGAATTCGTAAATATCCTCGTAAACGAAACGGTGGGTGTCGGGTCGGTCGGGTCATAGGTTTCGAGTCGACGACTGCACGTGGTCACCGGTGCACTGCCCGTCACACGACTGCCCGACTGCCCCTCCCCCCCCCCCACCACACACACACTGACGTCGCCTTTGCAATCACGCGCTCCGTGCAGTCATGTGTTTTCGCCGGCGCTCGACAGGGGTGAGCCTGGTGGAGGAGACTACCAAGTACTCGTATCGCAAGGTACTGGTGTTCGACCCTGCCCGACTGCAGCACAGCGGCCTGTACCACTGCTCGGGGCTCGACATCACCGGCATCAAGAACCGCAAACAGGAGTGGTTCGGTGTCATACGTACGTGAGGTCCAGTGAGCTGGCAGGAAGCTATTTCTTTAGCAGAAGTTGTGAAGCCCTGTGTGACAGTGCGGTCCAGTGTCAGGTGGAATTTACCATTGTGCCGAGTGAGTCATTCGCAAACTCAAACTGAGCAGCTCCTCTTCTCAGGGGTGCCGCCCAACGTCGTGCCCCACCACTTCTGCTTAAATGAGACATCATCTGTTGTCGCAGGTCACGACTTATCTGCTGTCGGATCGTGCAGCATTGCAAGAGGGCTTATCCGCCTGTCCACGTTAATTAGAAATGACTCTCCAAAGCAGCTGATCGCACGCTACATGACATATGCAGCAGTCATTGAGGCACATGGCTGACTACCAACCGACGCCCCGTTTGCCGCGCTCGTCGCGAACTGACTTCTCACACGGCGCAGACCGTTTTGTCTTGGCTCAGCCGCCGAAGCCGGCGTCGGCGGACCGTCGTCCGGCTCCGTACAGCGGGCTGCGGCCGCCGCTCTCTGCACCCCGCTCTCACGGCTTCGCCTGTCGGCAGCGGCGCTGCTGCCAGCGTTCACGAACAGCGCCAACATGGACGCGTCGGCTAGTCTGCAGCTGGAGGTGGGCTCGCCAGCCGAGCTCAACTGTACTGTCACCGGCCGGCCGCCGCCCGTCGTCACGTGGACCAAGGTCGGTGGTACAGCGGCTGCCGCCCTCCGCCTCCCCCGCCTCCGGCTCCCGAGCATGGTGGCTGCCGCCTCAAGCCAGATCACTCGAAGTATGAGGTCACATCTCTTCTGTTGGCGTTGTAAGGCTTGTGTGTGTCGGGGATGTGTGTGCACGTGGACGATTATCTGCGCATGCACGTGCGGACGCGTGTAATTTATGTGATATGGTGTCGAGATAGTAACTCTTGTCCAGACGTGAGTCCAGCTGTGACCGTCAGTCTGAGATGCCATGTTGTATCAGGTTGATTAGGTCCGATGTGTGCTGCAATTGGTTGTATTTCAGCGTGGTACTGTATCTCCCAATGTAATGCAGCCGGTCCGGTGCCTCAGCGCCGGTGCCTCAGCGTGTGCATGCTGACGCCACCGGCGCCGACAGGATGGACGGCCGCTGAAGCTGGACAACAGCGAGCGCGTCCGGCTGTCCTCCGACGGCCAGCGTCTCATCATCGGCGCCGTTCTCAACGACGACGCCGGCAACTACGAGTGCCGAGCGGAGAACAGGAAGGGTGCGCTGCTGGGTTCGGCCGAGCTGGTGGTGCCGGACGACACCACCATCATGCATGTGGTCGGCGCCATCACCGGCGTGCTCGTACTCTGCCTGATCGCCGTTGCGGCTTGCTTGGCGTGGAAGTGCAAGCAGCAGAAGGTGCGCATGCGAGGGGCTCTGCGAGCATTGCGGATGTAACCGCTGCGGTTGTCACTGTCTGCCGTGTTGTCTCGCGCGTTGTGGAACCCCTCGGCTTCACCGCGGGTCAAAAGAGGGTGGGCGGGGAAGGGGGAGGGATTTTCAAAGTTTCGGAAAGTGTTTTTTCATGGAATGCATGGACGTGATGTTGGATTACTGAAACTTGAAGGGATGCGTCCCCCTCGTCCCCCTGTGGTGGAGCCCACGATAGCACAACCACAGCTAGCTGAGGACGGGCGCGCACGGTACCAGAACGCTTCCCGCATTGGAACCTGCGGATTATCATGTTCACGACAAGGGGGAATGTAAGCACGTCTAAAAGCACCTCCTGTGCAATTATCTACGCGGCGTTCCATGCCAATATCTTTGTCGCAAACATGACGGTGAATGTTGTCCGCCTGCGTGCCTGCGTTCACCGCAGCGTCCCCCCCCCCCCCCCCTTCCCGAGAGAGGCTCAGCTCATGTCGGGGCACGCGCTAGCGGCGTCTGACCGAGGCGTTTCTGCGACAGACGCTGCAGCGCCAGCTGCTGAGCCAGGCCGAGCTGAACGACTTCAAGAGGGGCAAGATGAGCCAGTTCAATCCCAGCTTTCCGATCGATGAGCAGGCGGCGCTGCTGCCCTATGACAGCGAATGGGAGTTCCCCAAGGAGCGGCTCTTCCTCGGTGAGGGCGCCGCTAGTGCCGGCTGGTGATGGAGTGACGAAAGGGTGAAGTATATTGTGCTCCCTTTGCGCGAGGCGGGCCCTTTGGTGAAGCAGGAGTTACTTGGTGAAGGGTGAGTTATTTAGTGGTGTGTATGGTATTTTGTGAGGTACAAGATCTTCCGTGAAAAGCGAGTTTCTTGTATGTTTTTTGGTAGGACAGAAGTTACGTCTTGAGAGAAATTATTTTGTGTGAGGCGCGTACTGTAGTGAAGTGGCATGCTGTCGGTGGTTGGCGAGATAGACTCTTCGGTAAGAGGCAACTCCTTCGCCGAAAGGTAAGGTCAATGGGTGTCCAGTTCGGCACTGATAACAGGACCGGCTCGTAGCTGACTGTTTGCCGTGCATGATAAGCGTACTATGATGCACCCGGGCCGCACGAACTCGGCCTATCATCATGTTCCCATCATGCCTGTGGTATGGTGCTGCCGGCACTCGGTCATGGCAGCAACATGCAATTTTAAGCCGCTTAATTATCAATAAGTCGTTTTAGATAGTAAATTACATGACCTTGACGTTGGCTTATGACCTTTGAGTGCGGGAACAGGCCTGACCATTGTCCTCGCGATATAGCTCTCGCAGCGCGTCCACATCTTGGCTGGCGGATGATAGGTCGGGGTTTCTCAGTGATAGAACTTTGTGCATTCCAGCTCTTCAGATGGATGGGGAGGGCGGGTCAGGTCAAGGACCAGCCTTGGTTTCGGAACCGGATTTCTACCGGAGTCCTCACCGCCACTCCGTCCCAGTCCATTAGACCAGACTGCTCCTTCGCCTCTGCCCCGAGCCCTCACCTTTCCATATTTCCAGTCTGTCAGTGTACAGGCTCCTTCATGACCTATGCCTGCGAGCTCGACCTATAACCTATGACATTTATGACTTTCCTTATGACCTTTGACCTACCCTCAGGTCTGCGTGCTCGTGACTACGTGAGCTTTGTCAAGTTGTCGAACAAGCTTCGCAAAATTCGTACCACCTGACAGCTTTGTCAGACCGTATTGACGATTCCGTAACCTCTGTCCTGACCTTTGCCCCCCTCCGGCTTTCTGAACGTGACTCGATAACTCTTCTTGTCTACGGGCTCTGTGATAACTTTGAGCATACGGTCCCTGTCTCATCTGAATCTCATGGCATCTAATCTCGCGGAGGTGCCATCGGTATGGCACCTTTCCAGACGCCTGACCCCGGAATCCCTGTCGTTTGAACTTGACCCCCACATCTTTCCCCGCCAGGTGATAACATTGTCTAAGCGTCCCATTGACCTGTGCCTGACTCCCGCGCCAAGCCGCCAGATCGGCTCTGGCGCTGAGCTCTGCCCTGACCCCCCCCCCCCCCCGCCAGTGTGCCAGATCGGCTCTGGAGCTGAGCTCTGCCCTGACTCCCCCGCCAAGGCGCCAGATCGGGTCCGACGCTGAGCTCTGCCCTGACTCCCCGTCAGGGCGCCAGATCAGGTCTGGCGCTGAGCTCTGCCCTGACTCCCCTGCCAGGGCGCCAGATCAGGTCTGGCGCTGAGCTCTGCCCTGACTCCCCGCCAGGGCGCCAGATCGGGTCCGGCGCGTTCGGGCGCGTGCTTCGGGCGGAGGCCATTGGCCTGACACCTCGCCAGACCCGGACGGTGGTGGCCGTCAAGATGCCGAAGTCCGGCTCCGACCCAGACCAGATTCGCTCGATGATGTCCGAGCTCAAGATCATGATCCAGCTGGGCAAGCACTTGAACGTGGTGAACCTTCTGGGCGCCGTCACCGTACATGCTGAGCACGGTGAGGCGGATTCAAGCGCTTCATTGGTGCTGCGTTCTGTGTAAGACGCTGCAGCAGTTTGTTGTAGGGAGCGAGGCGCTGTTGTCTTCCGTTACTGTTTGCCAACACGCTGCGTATGACGCGTGGACATGCTCCAAGATGGTTAGAGGAACAGTTCTGTTTTGTCACGTTCCATGTTTTGTCATGTAAAAAGTGCATATTTTGTGATTCTCAGGTGAATTCATGGTTTTGGTGGAATATTGCCGCCATGGAAATCTGCACGACTACCTCCACCGACACAAGAATGGGTTCATAAACCAGGTCCACCCCATAAGTGGTAAGTACCAGCAATCATGACTCTTCAGCAGTGACTGATCTGCCTGAAAGCGACCAGAAAATGGGCGAGAGACATAGGGAAAATTGAAGGCACTTGTCTGGTGATATGTCTTCCTGTCATGTCTCAAGAAGTATAGCGATAACCCGTCATGTCCCAAGGAGCTTAGCAATAATTGACCGCTTGCTGCTTCAGGTGAATACGACCCCAGCCTTGGCGCAGAAGAGTTCCGGGCGGCCATGCGTCAACACCAAACAACGGAAAAGTGAGTCGCTGCAGCTAAATAAATCTTACTTATCGAAACGCCCCACCCGCGGTTGTCACGAAAGAAGTCTGCTCTGCTGAATTGCTCGTATTGTGCGAGATTTACCTCGCTGCCAGACATTGAAACTCCCGGCATCAAGCAGATACGCGTTAAAGAAGATATACGTGTGGATCTTCTTACCTTTGCAAAGTTTTGTTTGTGTCCGAACGTGTCCCTTGGCCGATGTGAACTTTTTATTTCCGATTTTCGAAACTTCCTCTTGTTCTTTTCACGCACTACGCATGACGCATGACCACATGGATTATCATTGCCGGACATGAGTGGAACTTTATATCTCTTTGAGGGGACTGCCTCCCCCTCGCCCAATGTTGAGCCACCCTCAATAACACGTTAACCCCAATGCTAAATACAATGCAGAGGGATCGGGCAGGATTTCTCCTGGACCCCGCGCCCTTCCAGTATGGGGTTCAGTCCCTGCTACTTTTCGAAGTTCCACCCCTGTGCTATGATGGACTATGGTTTGCACCGGAGTTGGAACTGCAATTTAACAATCGCCCTGCCTGAGGAATCGCAACATTGAATACATTGATTACATCGAACGCATGAAATTCGGAACGCATGCCGTCCCGTTGCCCCTCTCCACGGTACTCTAAACCCACTGAAAACCTACTAAAATTCCAGCATTAACCGAGCGCTGTTCGTCCATGGCATTCCCAGCACGTGACGACTAACACTGGTCTGGTAACACTGGTAACACTGGTCTCACTACCACATCGTACCAGCTAACCGTATCTCCAACGGTGGCCTGGGCTGCTCGCTGTGCGTTTGACCGCCGCCCACTAACGCCATCTGGCAGCACGCCGCTCAACTACGCCATGCTCGACCATGCCTCCTCGGCTGGAGGTCGGCTGAGACTGATGTCTGGTGGCAGCTACTACCAGACGCCGCGGCGGGGCAGCGCCACCTCCAGCGTCGGCAGCGTCAGCTGCAGCACAGGCGGCACCGTTACCGAATCAGTGTGCGAGAGTCCCAGCGCCGCAGGTGAGGCTCCGGGCAGCGAGGCGGAGCGCCGATGTAGCCTCCCGTAGGAAGTGTGCACAACGCTCCTCGTCGCACTAAGCGTTGGTAGGTATGAGTTGGATGTAATCGTACGTGTATCTCCGTCGTATGTTGTCGTTTTTGAATGCGGTGCACCGAGTCACGTGACATGTTCAAGCGCGCATCGTCTCCGTGTGTCTCCGCACAAGATTTGACTTTGCAATTTTGCGTCGTAAACATAACGATGAAAGTTTCGCGTGCTTTGCCCCCGGGGACGCCGCTTCCTGTCCGCACCGGCCGCCAGGCACGCTCTGACCTGACCTGACCTGACCTGTGCGCCTACAGTGGACAGCACGAACCGCTTCACCACCAGCGCCACAGCACGTCAGCAGCGGAGCCCGCTCACCACACGCGACCTGCTGCGCTGGAGCTACCAGGTGGCGCGCGGTATGGAGTACCTGGCCTCGCGCAAGCTGCTGCACGGCGACCTGGCGGCGCGCAACATCCTGCTCGCCGAGGACAGCATCGTCAAGATCTCCGACTTCGGCCTCTCGCGGGACATCTACAAGACGCGTGACTACAAGAAGAAGAGTGGCAAGGTGAGTGGCGGCCGGAGCGTGCGGTGTGCTCCGTCTCGGCCAGACGAACTCTGTATGTGTTCTGTTTCGGCCAGATGTGCTCTGTGTGTGCTCTGTGTCGGCTCAGGCGGCACCCAGGACTCCGGCTGGCTGCATGCCATCTCCGCTCTGTGCCATGCTAGTTCTGCGATGGGACTTTCGTTGTGTGACCTCTGGCCTGTGACCTCTGCGCGTGAACTGCGACTCTTTGACGATCACTGACATCTGCCGCTGGCCCGTGATCTTTTCTCCGAATCAACTCGTATGCGTGTGATCCATCTGTGCAAACAACGCGGCTACGTCTGGCCCGAGCATGTATGGCAAGAAGCGATAAAACAAAGAAGAAAACAGTGACTATCGAGATTCGAACGAAGGACATCCAGTCATCAGTCCGACACTCCACTGTTCTCGATGGACGCAACATTGTCACGAAGTCGACTCAACCTTAAGCACCAAATGCCATCATCACCCAGAAATCTACCCCTGCGCTTTAGATTCCCCTGTGACCTTTGACCTCTTACCTGTGCCATTGAACCGGTGGTCTGGCGCCTCAGGGCCTGCTGCCGGTCAAATGGATGGCGATCGAGTCGCTCCAGGACAACATCTTCTCCACGCAGTCGGACGTCTGGTCGTTCGGCATCGTCATGTGGGAGTTCTTCTCGCTCGGCGCCAGTCCCTACCCGGGCATGGAGTACGATGTCAACTTCGTCAGGTAATGCATCCAGCTGTCAGGCGCGTAGCCATGCCCAGAGTAAGCTGTGAGAGTCGGTGACATCAGCTTGGAACACTGTACTCAACGTCTCATCACTCACCTGTGTTGCTAACGATATAAGGTATCTAAGTATTGTACTATGTACTGTATAATGTATAGTACAAAGTATATTGTTATATTCTGTATTATAGTATTATACTATATATATATATATATATTGTAATACTATAACACCGTATATAACAATATATATATATATATATATATATATACATCATACACCATATATATATACATACACCATATATATATATATATATATATATATATATATATATATATATATACACACATACGGACGTCGGCTTGTGACGTCGACAGGCGGCTGCGGGACGGGTACCGGATGGAGCTGCCCAAGTTCTCGCCGAAGGAGGCGTATCGTCTGATGCTGCACTGCTGGCACGAGCGTCCCGGCGAGCGGCCCAACTTCACCGAGATCAGCGAGAGGCTGGGCCTCTGCCTGGAGGACCACGTCACCATGGTCAGTACAGGCCGCACTGGGAGCGCAACGGTGAGGCTCACCCGCTGTCTGAAGGACCGAGTCACCATGGGGGAGGGGAAGGGCGAGTGTGGCCCTGCCGTTGGTTCCGCTCCGGACCCCCCCCCCCCCCCCGAGCAACCCCAGGGCTCCTTTAACCGTCGTCGGGCCTCTAAATGACACACCTCCGAAATTACTGTGTGCAAGCCGGATAAACTGCAGCCGAAGCAGGCACCCAAAGCGCAAGCTGGTGTAAATCACACGGCGGTGGAATACAACGCGGCTTCTTCCCACCAGGAGTACATGAAATTGAACGAACCGTACAAGCTGATGAACGAGGAGTACTTCGCGCGGCGCACCGACTACGTGAACGTCATCGTCAGTCCCGACTACCAGAACGTGACGGCTCAGGACCTGACATCGGATGACAGCAGCGATGACGCGTCAGGACAGGTCACCGTCTGCCCTCGTCTGCAAGCGGTCGGATACATGTCGCCAGACAAAGGTCAGTACGGAGTGAGGACTCAATCCCGTAGAGGACTGCGGAGGAATGAGCCCCATAGCCCAGGGGGATAGCAGTCAGAGTAGGTGTCTGCAAAGAGAAGGTTGATACAAAGGACTCCCGCGTGAGTACCAACAGTGGGCCAGAGGCGCAGCTCAGCTCGATGGTGACGTTATCGCGTCAAAACCGTCAGTGAGAGTAGCATGTCCTTCTTAAACAGAACATGGCCATCCCGGCTGGTTTATTCTGCGTCGATGAAAGTTCACTCCATCGTCATTAAGCGTGGTTCGGCACAGACCACTTAGATCGGGTGCTATGCTGCAAGAGCCTGGTCTGGCGTGGTGATAGCGGGATGGGCACTGGCCGAGCTGTTTCTATCCGCTGTCAGGTCCCGCTGCGGGGCGGGGGCGTGCCTTCATGTGATGACCGTCAGCACGTGCCCTCCCATTCGGCAGGTGGTCGCGTGCCGTCGAGGCTGACGGACACCGACAGCTACCTGCTGATGACGCCGGCGCCAGACCAGGCGCTCCGCAGCACCTCAATCTTCTCGCCGTGGCCGGCGGACGCCGAGCGGCCCAACTCGCACTTCGAGTTCCCTCCGGCGCCGCAGCTGGCGCCAGCGCCGGACTCGCCGCCGCCCGCCTTCTCGAACCCCTCCTACCAGGGTACGGGCCGCGTGCCGTCCACGCACGAGACGGACACGAGGGCGCCGCCGGCTTTGGCGGCCGTCGGACAGGGCCAGGAGCACTACCGCCACCCAGTGCCGGTCGGATGTGAACAGTTGGTGTGAGCGACGCTGGGGGCTCGGGACCGGTAGCGCGTAGACGTGTGTTATGGCGTCGTCACCGGGAGTGCTGGCGCTAGCGTGCGTGGCTGGCGCGACTTGAGGTCAGTATGCGCGTGACCTGTGCGGGTGTGCCTGGGAGCTTAGGACGACGAATGCGGCTCTGTGAAATAATACGGGGTCATCGTTACGTGTGGAAGCTAGTGCTCGCTAGAATTGTTCGCTGTATTTGCATGCCTTTTTTCGACATTTAGACATCATGGTTTTGAAAGACGTGTACTTGATGAGAAGCGAATTGACCTTTCTCTCATTTCTATGCCGAAAAACTTTCATCATCAAACAAAAGGTGCACAAAATGCATCCCAGCCTGGGCTTTGTTCTGCTCTTATTGCGGGAGAAACTACGCGAAACAACCATTTGAAGCGATGAAAATGATCTCCTTGCGGCACAATCCTAATGGCAGAAACGAAAACGTTTGCTCATACTGCTTTTCCATATATAACACTTAGCCCCAAAATATCGGCACTCCTTGATCTGCTTATCTTGTAATGTAGATGACGTGTCCTGGGATTTAAATTACATGTATCAAACAACGCAATGTGGTGCCGCCGATTTTACAAACACCACGGATATAAACGCTCCACACACGCTTAATTTAGGCAAAAAAGCTCATCAGTCTAGTGTGATCACGCGGCCCGCATCCAATTCTAGGCATTCCAATTCTAAGCACATGCTCACATCAGGCACATTGGCATCACGCGTTCATATTCACGCATAAAGCGTCTCATATGCTCTTACACTTCTGTATCAGCGGGCTGTTGGCTGCGAAGTGTAGGATCATACGAGAACGCTTACACCTACGTGTCGACAACGGAGGTATTGCACTTAAATGTCGGGCGAAGACGTGTGCTCAGACGGTTTCCCGGGCATTAGGCGACGTGGGGCTGCATAAACCTCTCAAGGGAGCTGCGTTTTGGCCGCTTAAGTTCATCGTGTGAGGCTTGTTTTGATCCGCTGTCTTCGAACAATTGGCTCCATGGTAAGCACCGAGTCCTATTTGCTATGCGGCACGTTGATCTTTTCTTATTCTTAGTCAACATGTTCATACCTTTTACCATGTTCTATCCCTCGAAGCACCGTGGGCATCACAGGTAGTGCTTATTTCTAGGTATATGCTATATTTGGAAGAACTACATGAGCAGCCATGTCATATAGTACTAGGAGGATTGTGCCACTAGTAAGTAAGTTTAATTGCTTTGAATGGCTATTTTGCTTAGTTTCTCTTCAAATTTCAACGAGAGGCATAGAGCGAAATACGCTGCAGCTTCCCGCAGTGCATTAAGGCAAAACTTAAAGGTAAACTATTTTTCTATACATGTTTGGTAAAAGGGGTCCTTTAATCCTGCCTTGCCCCAAACGGTGCATTGTTTCCCATCTTCGTATGCCTTCGGGCTGTTGACAACTAAGGTGATCTAAACGTCTCCTCATCTGTCAAGTACTTCCAATTGCAAAAGGATTCCAGCATTCATGACGCATGATGTGCAGGTATCATGTTCAAAGCTGTTCAGCCGGGGAGCAAACATTGACGTTATGTTGGACGACGGCGGTGCCAAGTGTCTGTCTGTGATTTGGCCATGGGTGTATGTCAGTATCCTCAGCTTGCTGCAATTGTATCGTACTGTTCTTTCCATCGACATTTGGAAAAACTGTTGCCCAGCCTTGTATCGTGCGTGCCACTCCTGTACTCGCCGCGTATCCCCGAGCCATTTTCGCGGAGGCGTGTGCGGAAGCTTTCTGCTCTGCTTTCAATGTGTGGTCGATGAATGCCGCGCTTGCGCCGACTTAGCTTGTCTCACACCATTCTAGTGGACCATGCCGTGATGAGAGCCGCGCGGCTGGTCCCAACCTGTGCTGCGTTTGAGAACGCTACGGCAAAGTCCACTGCAGTGAAATGCGTTGTCATGGAGTGTGCTGCAAGCCAAGGGTGTTTCCAAGACGCCGCGATCTGGGCAAAGCTCAAAATGATGTCCTGATTTTCATAGGACCGGATTTCTTCTCAGTCTAAGCTTTACTTCTGTGAGTTAAAGATTTTCTTTAAAGTCCAAAGGTGTGCGAATTTTTGGCTGACTTCACCCATCTTGAGGGGCAGGAGGGACAGCACGTTCCGACTGGTCCCTTCTTGGATACGCCCTTGAGCCGGGAACACGGCAGATAAGAGCGGAGTGCACTGCAGGGGAGCGTGCTGCGGCGGACTCTGTTGGGCTGGGGTGCACTTTCATGGAGAATATTGAAATGGACCACATTGCAGTAGACTGCGCTGCCGAGGGGTGCATCACTTACGTGCATGCAGTGGACTCAGTTGGGGCGCGCTTCAGCAGGGGCATACGGAAGTGGCGTGTACCTCGCAGTGGCGTCGGCGCCGTCCTGAGCCCGCTGAGCGGCCGACACCAGCACCGTCGTCGGCAGGCGGCCATGTTCGACGGCGTCGCCACCACGGACCTGGTGGCGACACCGTCGATGTGCGACGCTCCGTCACTGTGCCGTCGCGCCCGACACTGGCAGATCGTCTAAGTCAGTCGCCACTCGCGTGACCGTGCGGTCGCGGCCGGTGTGCAAGGTCCGCCGCGTGCTGATCATCCTGCCGTCACATGCCATGACCGGTGCGAGGTAGTGCTCTAACGGGTACCGTTTTCGGGCTTGGCCTTTTCTCCTGTCGTGGCCATATAAAGACAATGCGGTTTTAAATGTCGCTGGAGACACGGACATCCACGATATGCTGATCTGGAGTCCCCTCGTTCTGATCATACGCTAGCATTCTTCCCCACATGATGTACACAAAATGCGCGTCAAGTTTATTTATGACAGGTTTGATACTCACATGGAAAGCAGTTCAAACCGCAGTCGCGCTGTGCCATATATATTTTGAGTGAATAGAAACTGAGTTCCGTGAATACAAACTGAGCTTGAGTGAAAACAAACTGAGAATACAAACACATACAAACCGAATGTGAAGAGCTTGAATTTACTCAGCGTTATGCAAATAATCAGCATAGATACCGAACACTTACGTCCCGCAGTAGCACCCCGAGAATGAGCGGCGAGCTGGCGCGATGTACCTCACGACCTGTGATCGCGTTGACAGTGTCGACCCATTCCGGTGCAACGACGAGGACTCTAACACTGTGCTACCCTTATCCAAACAAGTTCTACACGTCCCTCTCGCGTGTCCGCCGCGCTGGCAAACTGCCAACTCTTGACACAGAGGCGCGCTCTGGGCAATGTCAGGGGGCGAATGCATAAGCCGTTTGTTTTGCGTTACTATTCATTCCAGAAATTGTCCCACTGTTTTAAATCGCACTGCTCAACAGTGCCTCTGGTGGATACTGCCGCCGCTAACTGCAAATCATCCGTGGCCTTGTTGCCAGGCGGCAGTCTTGCCTGCGGCACACCGCCTGTGCCCCGCCGCCGCCGCACTCTGCGCCCGCCGTAAAGTCCGCCCGTTAGTCGCACGACCAAGTCCACCGGGGGATGCGCGCGTTGCTCGTGCTCGGGTGTTTGGCGCTGTCGCTAGCCGAGCGGCCGCTGGTCCGGCTCGGTGACGGAGTGCTGCGCGGCGTCACGCTTCGCTCGTTCGAGGGACGCCAGTATGTCGCCTTCAAGGGCATCCCGTATGCCCGACCACCGGTGGACGACCTGCGCTTCCGGCCGCCGCGCGCTCACCCCGGCTGGTCGGGGGTGCGCGACGCCGCCCGGCATGGTGCCACGTGTCTGCAGTTCAATATGATGAATGACAACATCAAGGAGGGCCAGGAAGACTGCCTGTTCGTCAACGTGTACTCGCCCCGACTGCCAGCCGGTGACGGTGAGCCCCGCCTGCCCGTCATGGTGTGGATCCACGGCGGGGGCTTTGTCAGCGGCTCTGGCGACGCCGACCTCTACGGCGTCGACTTCCTGATGGACGAGGACGTCGTGGTCGTCACTCTCAACTATCGACTCAACGTGTTCGGCTTCTTCACCACAGATGACGCCGTGGCGCCGGGCAACGTGGGTCTGCTGGACCAGGTGCTGGCGCTGCAGTGGGTGCGCAGCAACATCGCTCGCTTCGGCGGCGACCCGCAGCTGGTGACGCTGTTCGGCGAGTCGGCCGGCGGCGCCAGCGTCTCGCTGCAGGTTATCAGCCCGCTGTCGGCCGGCCTGTTTCACCGAGCCGTCAGCCAGTCGGGTGGCGCCTCGGCCTGCTACGCGGTCGGCGGCCGGCAGCGGCCCCTGGCGCTGCACTTTGCCGCCGAACTCGGCTGCCCGTCGGAGCATAGCCGGGCCGTGCTCGAGTGTGTGCGACGCGCGTCGGTCGATGATATTATGCGAGTGCTTGGCGCGCTGGGCCCCTCGGTCAGCGCTCGGTCCAAAAGGTTCCACCCGCGCGTCGACCCGGAGGCCACGTCACCATTCATGCCGGCTGAGCCGAACGTGCTGCTCCAGCGGGGTGAGTTCAGCCGCGTGCCCTGGATGATGGGATGCACCCGAGATGAGGGCCTGTTCGTCCTCAAGGTTATTCATGATAGTTCGGACACACTGAAGAGAGCCCAGCAGGGAGACCTGGAGGCATGGGGCTCCAGTGAGCTCATGTGCGGTGGTAGTCTCTCTGACAAGACTGAGAAACCTCTCGAGGTCGCTGCCAAGATCCGTGACTTCTTCCAGAACGACGGAAACTCTGATGCCGCTCTCATCGACTTCTTCAGCGACCGCTTCTTCACACTGACCCTGTCGGCCGAGTCTGAGCTGGCGTCGCAGTACGTGCCTGTCTACAAATACGTGCTGGACCACGTGGGGCCGGGCCAGATGCACTTCACCGATCTGCTACAGATCCCGGTACCGCCGGCGCCGCATGCTACGCACGGCGACGACCTGGCCTATCTGTTCCACGGTGAACGGCAGCCGCTGCCGGAGCGCGGCTCGCCCGAGCACACCATGATCCGGTTTCTGGTGAGCCTGTGGACGAGCTTTGCACGGCGCGGCTACCCCACCACGGACGTGCTGGACGCGCCCGCCTGGCCCATCTTCACGGCGCAGAGTCAACGCCACCTGCGGCTGAACGCGGCGCCGGCCCTTGGAGACCATGCCTTCGAAGAGCGCGTCCGCTTCTGGAAAAGCCTGCCGCTGGCCGAGTCGTGGAATGCGCACGAGCAGTCATCAATTCGGCTACACGACGAGCTCTGACCGCCATGTGGGAGTGGCATGGGCGGCGGCACGTGGTTGTAGTTGCGAGGACGAAGGCGGGAGAAGGACCGCGGCAGGGATGAGTAGCCCTGCTCGTGTGCCCTGCACACGCTAGTTGCGTACCATGCATATAGCCATTAAAGTGGACTGTGCGTCGCTGTCATAATGGAGCGATACGGGGCAGGATGTTCCATTGCAATGATTGTACCCACCAAACTGAATAGCACCGACAAATCTCTGTTATCCTTCAGGAAGCCATGCACTGATAGAGGAGTGGCCAAAAATGAACCGCTGCTTTACTCAGCCACAATGCTTTGCTTACAGATTCTATCCCAAAAGGTAGAATTAAAGCAATTGGGGACCATTTGCGTGCTATCCTGACACAGCGAGCAGGCGTCTGCTGAACTGGGATATACTGGACCACTGAACTGCTAAACTGCAATATACTCACATGAAAAGCAAGAGCTAGTGGTGCAATATAAGAAACTAGGGAGCATTGATGGATCGATGGTAAAGTGCACTGATTCGTTTGACAGGGAGCCGCCCCCCCCCCCCCCCGCCCAAAGAAATCTCAGTCTGGACGAGTTAGGCGCACTGATCCAGAAACCACAATGTGCATGACCTTCTGGAAGCGAAGGAAGCCCCCTGCGGACCGCTCGCTACCGGGGATTTCCCTCAGTCTGGACAGGCCGCAATACCGTCACGCTACGGCCAGACATTGACCAGCTCGGCACATGCAGAGCATTCCGGGCTAAAGCGGGGCAGCACCGGCCACGCAGCGGATAAAATGGACTTACGCAAACAGTGGAATTATACAATCACATAACATTAAGAACAGTTTCATGCATTTTTAGATGACTTCAACATTTTCACTAACCCCTGTGGAATGCAATGAGAAGATGAGCACTAAAAACAATAAACCTGACAAAGCAGCATATGGAATCAAACACTCAGATCGCGTGCCTAAGGTGTCAAAAGACATCAGTAAAGGGGAAATTGTCCATTTTGTGAGGACATTTTTGGAATATTATTCATGGATTTAAGATTGAATTCAAAATTCCTTTTAGGCTACAGCGCGAGCAACAGTGCATCCGTTCGTCGTGTACCTACATGGGAATGAAATATCTTGAGAAGGTGCTAACCAAATTATTTCGTACTTAAGTAGCTTCCGCTGTTAAAGACCGAGACATTATCAACATTTCAAAAGATGAGATCGGAATGTTAGGCTAGGAAAACGACTCAATCCGAAACATACATTTGTTTTCACCTGCAGATCAGCTCTCATTATGCAAATCTATATTGCATTGCACATGCACTAGTGCGCTAAGAGCAGATTGGGCGGCTTTCAGCCGGTTTTTAGGATCATCCAACGCGGGCACTCCGGCCGAACTGGAGACCCCAATGCCATTGAGTCTGACTCACCTGCCTGCTCCAAGCGCTCGAGTGAACTGTGTCGCGAAACGGACGCTAACGCACCAGTGTCACACGATCTGATATTCAGGGAGCTAGAATCGCTTTTAAACAAGGGTGGGAGTGAAAAAGTCCATCGCAAAAAGACCGTGTGGGAGTGAAAAAATCAATTCACAAAAGACGGAACTCATGAGCTCGTGACGGATGCTTCAGCAAACAAAGACATCTATTTCAAGTTGGCATGGACGTAATATGAGAAACCTGACAAACTTATTTCGTATTTTAACACCTTAGGCCATTAAAGTGAAACAGAATGCATTAACACGCGCTCGGGTAGGGAGGCAAATTACCCCCCCCCCCCAAGGGGTTTTCCCAAACGGTTTTTAAACGGCGCGACGTAGCCGCGCCACATTTTGCATAACTGTAGAATATTGCATAGCGGATCGCTTGACATACAAAGTTTAGATGTACCTAGTAAGGTCGCTGACCTATGACAGGTCAAAGTCAGCCCATGGTTTCAGCGAAGGCAATTTCTAGGGAATCGTTCACTCTGATACAACAACGGAGTGTTTGACGAAGACATGCATATCTGAGATACCTTCTTAGGCACCACAAATATTGAACGAGCAAATTACGTTGACCTAAGGTCAGGTATGATGGTCAGACCAAGGTCAAAACCAACCTGATTTATTACTCTAGGGCTTGCTGTATGGGGTACTTTCTGGTGTTCATGTCGAATTTATTGACAGCAGGAACCGCATTATACATTTTCAGTTAACTTCTTAGCAGCCAGAACAGGCCATTGATCTAAGACGACCCGGGTCGAACGTTTTGTTTCAGGAACATACTGCCCAGCGTAATTCTTGTCGGTTATTCAGATGAAAACGCAGATCAGTCTTGTATGATTTTGGTCACCATGACCTTCAAATGGTCAAACAATGTCAATGACCTCAAATGGGCTTGCGACCTTTACCTTAGAGGCAGTTGCCTAGGTTCTGGGGGCGGTTTGGAGACCAACCTGGAAATTGACCTTGTTTGACCTTATTAAACCTGAAGGTCATAACCTAGGAAGCTGAAACCCTAACCTAATCGAGTCCACGTAGAGATCAAGGCACCCTGTGAATTTGGTGTCTCTAGCGTTCTTAGTTCCCGAGATCTCAGAGGGAGGGGTTCAAACTAACCCCCCACACCCGAGCGAAGGATGTCTAGCCGGCCAACCGGGCGCGTGTTAAAGCATAGTAATTTCATGACAGTATTATGAGCATAGCAAATTATTAATACCAATAACTTGATGCCGAACTTTTCAATTCCCTTCCACAGCACTTTTAAAACAAAGCAAAGCAAAGGAATTCAATACAAATATTACAACAGAAAATTCAACAAGCATAAAACGCTCAAACAAAATACATCGCATCTTTTAAAAGAAAACAAACCAAAGGAATTCAATAACAATATAACAATAGAAAATCAACAAGCATAAAACACTTAAACAAAAAACATTGGGCTCCTACACATCAGCCCATCACCAAGTCAAACACAATAGACATACTTCTGGCTTCTATTGAGATGGGGTCAGGGAAAACAAACATTTTGTCACTGTTTCTTCCAAAATATCAATGCTCATTTCCACGAAAGTAGCCTATGCCTAACCTGAAGAGCCGTTACATCATCTCATCCTGTACAACCTGTTTGTATCACAGCAGCAGTTGTGAGTTACTGATTTTTGCACAATTCCTATTGCCACTTGCCATGCACTTGACCAACTTAACCTAAATTAGAGTAGCCCATATGATGAACATCATCTCAACTCACCTATCTGTTGACATCAGCACTTGTGATAAAAACATGATGTTAAAGCTGGTTTTTGGCTGGTTTCAACTTGCATTTTATTCAGTTCATTTGTGTATGCTTGTTGGCATCAGACAAAGTTCACAACACGCAAATCAAAACACTTTAAATCACTTTGAACAACTTATTTTGATTGTCATGGTTAGCCTATGTCAAGGGCAATTATGGGTATGCTCCACAAAACAATCTCTCTTCTCCAAAAATAACATAACTTTTAGATGATCATGCCAGTATTGCTGCTTGCCTTTACAGCTGCAGCAAATGCATCCATTTGGGCTTGTTTAGTCATATTTAATGACAAAGTTTGAAATGTTGGCTTCACATTTTAAATGGGGTGGTCTGAATATTTGTTACATACCAACATTTAAGTCATATTATAATTGCTGTGTAACTTAGAGTATCCCTGTGTTAAAAATATAGTGCATATGTACAGTACGGTCATTTGCCGGTCAGCAAACCATGACAACTGTAGAAAACATCTGGTTAAAGCAGCCATGAGGGACCACTTTAAAAATTTTGGGGCAAATGACCAAGAATATGGAACAACATAAGCCCATTGCATGCCTTGTGGCATCACAATTTGTCTTATGGAAAAACTCGATGCATTAAAACAAAAACTGGCCAACTCTGGCTACCAATCATGTGTTGAAAGCAAGTAAGGTAAGCAAATGCTTGGTCCACAGGAGGCTTACCGGCTTCTTCCTGTTCCCCCCAAAACAAAAATGCGATACCCTTTGCATGGTCTGCTGGCAGACAGTCATCCGACTCACCACCAAATATAATTATCAATCATGCCCACCAACCTTTGAGATTAAAACGCGAAACAAGTAAGAGGTGCGCATGATAAACATCTCCAGAGGGCAAAATTTCGCCATCGAACACTTCTGTATTAGATGCGTCAGATCTGTCCCCAGGCTCTATATGGCAGCATTAGAAAAGCCTTGCCAGGTAGCCTAGTAAGTCAGACACTCGAAAAGCTTGAATTTATCCTTATTGAGCACCTCCATGAACCAAGAAAACAGTTAACCGAAGGTTTAAGAGGGCAAAAATGGCAGTAGAAATAAGTTCCGTGCTTCAAATTGTCTACTTCATTCCGTGTGAATTGTTCACGCTTGGGTGCATATCAAACGTGTTTGGGCGGCTGGCGAATTAATCCAATTTATGTGTGGAATACGTACAAGCTTGCAATTGGAACATCTTGCAGAGAATTGGTCAACATTTTAAGCAGCAGATGGTACCTCTAAAGGCAATCGAAAAGGAATGAAGAATAAAGTGGTATCACACTGGTATGATACCAAGAAAAGCAACAGTAGCTAAATCAATATAAGGACTGATAATTTTCTCGCAAAATTTTGTGATCAGCTGATTTGACTTAAAATCTGTTAATATAAGTGCTGAAATGGTGATATTCATCTTGTGAGTTTAATTCAAAAGACATTTCTTGAACTTTTCACTCATGCATTTCGGGAGTGATGCAATGTAGTGGTCAAGTTTCCTCGGGTAAAAAGAAGTACGTGGAGTAAAATTATCTACCAGGCCTTGCTGGTGTTTGCACCAGGCTCTGCTTTCGTGGTGTGGTGAGACAAAAAAATAGGGGATGTGTGAAAGAAAACCTTGCATTTGGCGCACAGCTGCAGATCGTGATGCATTTTGTAAACAAACCAAACTTAATGCGTGCAAGCGGCTGGAGTCGCTGAGGTTCATGGGCTTGGAGGTACCTGGCGCCCTTGCTCTGTGCATACATAGACATGATTCGGATGTAGGTGAGGCAGGACATAGCCATAGGTGTCCAGGTTCTGCGGAGCCTCGTTTATGCTTGGTGGTTTCAAGTGAGCTCGGCTTTGGATGACCTCTGAAAACCTCAGAAAGGGAAGTGGGAGTTTGGAATGTGCGATTAGGCAATGTCAGGCAGGAGTGAAAAATTTACATAAAATGTGGGGAAAAGGAGTGAAAAATCCCTCCTCATAGGGTGTTGCTTTACCCCAAAGTCGGCAATTCTAGGACACTGCTGATATTAAAATGCGCGGACCTGGATGTTGACGAGAAATCCCGCCCACTGAAACTTAACCCCTTCCTGTGCGAGTGGGCCATATTGAAACTATATACACCAAGGCCATGTAGTGAGGTATGATCATCCGGGGATTTTTCCAACACTTTCCCCTCACTATTACTGTGACGTCACAAAGTCGCAGCCTGGCATCACCTCTCCGCCTGCATTATCTTCGCGTCTGCTACACCGGTGCACCTACTAACAAATGCTTCTGGTGATCG